CTATGAGTCTGTTTCTGTTTTGTATTTATGTTTTGTTTTGTTTTGTTTTTAGATCCGCATATGAGCGATTTCATATGGTATTTTTCTTTCTCTTTCTGGCTTACTTCACTTAGAATGACATTCTCCATTAACATCCATGTTGCTGCAAATGGTGTTATGTTGTCGGTTTTTATGGCTGAATAGTATTTCATTGTATAAATATACCACATCTTCTTTATCCAGTCATCTGTTGATGGACATTTAGGCTGTGTCCATGTCTTGGCTATTGTAAATAGTGCTGCTATGAACACTGGGGTGCAGGTGTCTTTTTGAAGGGTTCCTTCTGGATATATGCTCAGGAGCGGGATTCCTGGGTCATATGGTAAGTCTGTTCCTAGTCTTTTGAGGAATCTCCATACTGTTTTCCACAGTGGCTGCACCAAACTGCATTCCCACCAGCAGTGTTATTCTGTCAATTTTTGCTTCCTGTATTTTAAGGCTCTGATGTTAGATGTACATGTGTTTATAATTGTGATAGCTTCCTGGTGAACTGACCTTTTCATCATTATGAAATGTCCCTTACTGTCTCTAAAACCATTTTTTTTTTGCTTGTAAAATCTATTTTGTCCAGTCTTAATATAGTCTCTCTAGGTCCCCTGTGGTTACTGCTTGTAAGGTTTTGGGAGAAAGATCACAGAGTAGAAGTACCATTGTCACAATATCATTTCAAGGATACATATTATCAAACGATTTATGACTTGATGTTGACGTTGATCACTTAGCTAAAATAGTGCTTGTCAGGTTTCTTCACTGCAAATTTACTCTTTTCCCTTATTTTGCATACTGTGCTCTTTAAAAGGAAGTCTGTATGTGCAGCCCACATTTAAAGATTGGAGAGTTATGCTCCTCCTCCTCTAGGATGGAGTACCTACATAAATTATTTGAAGTTTTTATGCACAAGAGTTTATCTATTCTCTCTCATTTATTAATTTATTCAATTATTTATTTATATCAAAATAAACTCACAGATATTTAATACTTTGGTCTATAATTCAATACTACCTTATTTTCTAGGTCAAGTTGTTCCAGCTTTGGGCATCAGGACCTCTTTCAGTTGGTTCTTGTGCCCCTCTGACATGCCTCTAGCAATGTGGTTTATTTACGTATATATTTTAGCACTTCCTTACTTTCTGGTACTTACAAGATGCTTCAAGTTCATCTTGAATATTTCCTGCCCCAGTCCTAGAATCTGCCATTTCCCCAAGAATTTCCAGTTCTTTTAATTGGAGAATAGTACTAAAAGCCAAGATCTGGTTGCTAGGTGTGATCATTGCTACTGGGGTCATTTCTGTTCAGCCCTCTCATCTGACAGAGCAATAAATAAATAAATAAATAAATAAATAAATAAATAAATAAGTGTGTACTAACCCATGAATATAACACATCTCAAAGTATATGTAAAATCATCTGTAACTATGTTAAATTAAACATGAGTACTTCTTGATGTCTCTAATGCTAATCCATTATCACATGGATCATTCTAGCCATAATAAATTTCTACACAAACAATGAGAAATCTGTTCCTACCATCTACCATTCATTTACTTAATTGCTCAGTTCCAGTATACACGTATAGCAGTATCAGAATTATTAACCCATATCCCTATGGGAAACAATTTATGAACTAGAGTACATTCCTCATATGTAGTTCCTTTTGCCTTCATTCTTACAGAATCCTTTCCTTTCCAGTTACTTGGGTCAGCAACCCTCTTCCCCCTCTCCCCTCACTTCCACCATTTCTTTCAGTGAGGTTGTGTCATATATTTCTAACACAGTTAGATTCTCTTTTCATAGACTGAATTCCTCCCTAGGCTCCTTTGACCTCTTAGATGGTTATTTTTAAAAATTTGCCTACATCAAGTTTCGCTCTTTGTACTGTAGAGTTCTGTGGGGTTTGACAAATGTATATTGTCCGTATCCACCATTACAGTATCATATGGAATAGTTTTTCCGTCCTAAGAATCTCCTGAGTTTCATCCTTCCCCTCTCTCCCCAAGACTCTGGCAACTACTGCTTTTTTAGTGTCCCTATAGTTTTGACTTATCAAGAATGTCATGTAATTGGAATTATGTAGTACATAGCTTTTTCAGACTGGTTTCTATCTCTTAGCAATACATGTTTAAGTTTTCTCTGTGTCTTTTTGTGGCTTAATAGCTTAATTTCTTTTTACTGCTGAATACTATTTCATTGTACAGATGTACCAGAGTTTGTTTACCCACCTATTAAAGGATATTTTGGCTGCTTCCAGGTTTTGGTAATTAAGAATAAAGCTACTGTAAACATTCTCATGTAAGTTTTTTTGTGTGGACATAACTGAGTAAGTATCTAGAAGCATGCTTACTGGATCATATGATAAGACTACATTACTCTTTAAGTAATTTTGTAAGAAACTGCCAAACTGTCTTCTCAAGTATCGGTACCATTTTTCATTCTCACCAGCAATAAACAAGAATTCCTGTTGCTCCATATCCTTGCTAGCATTTGCTATTGTCTGTTTTTTGTTTGTTTGTTCATTTGTTTGTTTTGGGGGATTGGCTGTTTTAATGAGTGTGTAACAGTATCTCATTGAAATTTCAATTCGCTAATGACAGGTAATATTGAGCATCTTCTCATATGCTTACTTGCCATTAGTATATATTATTTCTTACCTTCATTTTTAAAAAAACAAGGGTTGTAGATGCATGCCACTTCAAAAAGGGCATTATTTCAGGGGATGAATGTGATAGACATTCTATAACACATTTAGAGAAGTGTTTAAAAACACAGTATCAACTATGGATATGTGAATGTTCACTGCAAGCTACTTTTTGACTGGAGTGTTACTTCAGTAAACAGATGTGTTAGCTCTTCTATAATACATATAGGGAAGTGTTTAAAAACACATGAAGTAAGGATGGCTATGAGAGTTGCACATGCATGCTACTTTGAGAAGAGTGTTATTTTAGGGAATGGGTGTCTTACCTTCACTTTTGGAAGAATAGCTTTGCTGGATATAGAATTCTTGGTGAGCAACATTATTCTTTCAGCACTTTGAATATATAATCCCACTGCATTCTACCTCCATTGTTTCTGATAAGAAGTGTCTTGTTAAATTTTCTGTGGTTCCCCTGTTCTTTATGAGTCTTCTTAATTGTGATGAGTCATTTTTCTCTTTTTGCTTTAAAAATTCTCACTTTGTCTTGCTTTCAACAGTTTGACTATGATGTTCTTTCTAGATATGGATCTTTTCGTGTTTATCCTACTTAGAATTTGCTGAACTTCTTGAATGTGTAGATGAGTGTTTTTCATGAAATTTGGGATGATTTGGCCATTATTTCTTCAAATATTTTAATGCCCCTCCCCTTCTTCTGGGACTTCTATTGCTTGTACACTGGAACATTGCTTGATGGTGTCCCACAATTCTCTGAAGCTTTGTTCATTTTTCTTTATTCTTTTTCCTTCCTGTTCTTCAGATAAGACAATCTCTTGTAATCTAACATCAAGTTAGCTGCTTATTTTCTTCTGTCATTTCAAATATGCTGTTGAGTGAATTTTTCATTTCAGTTCTTATACTACTCAACTCTAATTTTTCCACTTGGTTTTCTAATTTCCATCTCTTTATCGATATGTTCTATTTATAGTCATTGTTATACTTTCCTTTTATTTAAAATATAGTTTCTTTTAGTTCTTTGAACATATTTATAATTGCTTCTTTGGATGTCATTTTTTTCTGGTAAGTCCAACATCTTGCCCACCTCCTTGCCCAAGTCCCTGAGACAATTTCTATTGACTGCTTTTTCCTCCTTTGTATGGGTCACATTTTTCTGATTCTTTGCATGCTTCTTTTATGTTGAAAACTGGACATTTTAGATAATATATTGTAGCAACTCTGGATTTTGATTTTCCTTGCAACCTCCAGAGTTTTTTTTTTATTGCCTTTTTGGTTTGTTTTCTTAGTGACTTGCCTGGACTAACTGGGTGGAGTCTGTAGTCCCCACAGTGAGCAGCTACTGATATCTCTGCTCAGTTTTTTCTTCTTTTTTTCTTTTCATTTTTATTTTTAAAACCAAATTTTATTTGTTTTTGATTTTTTTTAGGGGGCAGAGGTAATTAGGTTTCTTTATGTATTTTTTTATTTATTTGCTTGTTTTTTTCTTTCTCTTTTTTAAATTAATTTTTTATTTTACTTTAATTTTTAGTGGAGGTACTGGGGATTGAACCCAGGACCTCATGCATGCTAAGCACACACTCTACTGCTGAGTTATACCCTCCCCCTTTAAACCCAAATTTTAGGGGTTACCTTTGGGTCAGCATAGCTTAGTGGTCAGTCAATGATTAGCTAATCATTAATTGATCCAGTAAGGTTTCTACTCTTTGCTAATGGATCTATGTATGGGTTAAGGAAATACTGTTTAAGTATTACTTTGCTCCAGATCAAATCAACCCCCTCAGGCAGTAGAGCTGTCAGCCCTCACAGCTTGCCTCACCCTGATAGAACTAGCAGGCCATAGGGCTGGAGAGTTGGAGATGAAAGTAGCTCCAGGCTAAAAGATCATAGACTTCCATTGTTCTTACTGAGGTTCAGTACTTTTTCTCAAATAAATTATTCTTAATTTATTGCATGCTTTTTGTCAGTTTCCAAGTCCTAAAATGGTTGTTCTTGTCAGTTTTGTTCAGTTTTGCCATTGCTTTTTTAGGAAAAAATTGCTGAGTTTCTCATTCAGCTCTTTTGGAAATCCCTTCAAATGTCTGACTTCTGTCTGTTCTTTTGTGATCCTTTTGAAAGAACCAAGTTTAGCTTTGATGTAGAAAAAGGAGAAAAGAAAGATAGAAACCCAAGAAATAAAATGGAAAGCACCAAACATAAGCAAAACCAAAGGAAAGTTTTGGCTTATAATGTAAAATTGTAACTGAAAGTAAGCTGAAGGCACAGCTGAGTTCTCCTAAACTCTGGAAGAAGTTCTAGTTGATTGTGGAAAAAGAGTCATTCTTTTAAAAGTAATACTATTTATTTTGGGGCCAAAGTTTCCTCATGAATCTTTACCCTATGTCTACCTGTTAATTTAGGCTAAATTCCTTAGGCTTAGCCATAGACAGAGCACAACACAAAAGAAGAAATGCAATCTCATTATTTTATGTTTTATTTTTTTGTATCTTCTAGCATCTAGAGGTTCTCTATGGAAATCCTGGAAAGAAAGAGTTATAAAGCGACCTGCAGCAGCTCATGCTTTAAGACCAGATCAGATGATTAGTGATGAATTTGCAACAAATACAAAGGTTTCAGAAATCCAAGATATGCTACAGGAACTCATAGGTACTGCAATGTTCAATAAACTGGAAAACAATGCTATTAAATATATATCAGCAACAATAGGAAACCTTTCTAAAGCTCTGAGTACACTAAATGATGAAGTAAAATTTATTAACCTCCAAAGTGCCAATATGTACATAAATGAGACAAGTGAAGGAGAAAAAGAGATTTCCCTGAAGATAGTACAAGATCTCAGTGAAAAAAATGAAATGCTTCAGCAGAAGCTTCAAGAAGCTGAAGAAAAATATGAACAACTCATTCAATCCAAAGGTGTAGAACACCAAGCATTGCCCACATCAACGTTGGAAGTGTTATCTGAGCCTTCTCCACAATCATCCATGGCCGTTAGCCAAGCTCACATAGAAGACAGTATAAACAACATTTTATCCAAAGAATTTAAAAACACTCCAGATGAGGTCCAAAGAAAAGGGACCAAACCCTTGGGGATCAAGTGGGACTCAGCTATTTCATATACAGATCCAGCAGAAATGATTTCAGATTTAACTGACCAGCAATACTCTTTACCTGAAAAAAAACAGAAAAAGTCTTCTGAAGATATCACTGAAGATAAGATATCAGAGAAGAAAGGTGGTGCCTATGAGAAAGATGAGACTAATCAGTATCAGTCACAGAAAGGAAAGCATGTGAAAGGTCCACCTGTCCCCAAAACATCTGAATCAAGTCCAAATGACGATAAAGGTAAACACAAAGTTGCAGGGACCAAACCTGATCACCACTTTGAGTTACCAGCACTGGAAGAGAAGAGAAAAGAAAGAAAATCTTTTTCTGAAGCCAAATCAAAGTCATCCACTGAATCAAAAAGTCAACATGCTGATTTCCCTTCTACTGACACAAAGAGCCAAGGTGGCAAAAGCGGAACAAGTAGTTTATGGGAACAACTCAGGAAGGCCAAACCTGAATATTCACTTAGCAAAAGCCAAATTTCTTCAGGGGATAAAGAGGAACTTACCACTGAGTCAACAGACAAAGAGGGCAAACATAAGATGAGTAGCCTAGCAGAACCATTCAGGCTGAGCCAACTGGATTATTCCTCTGAGAAACTGAAAATAAAAGGAAAGAAACACCAAACCTCTCCTGGAACCACTGCAAGCAAAGAAGAAAAAACTGAAGAGAAGGATATGTTAGTCTCCAACAAGAAAGTCAAGTCTTACGAACTTGTTAAATTACAACCTAGGACAACTAAAGAGACTTCAGACTCTACCAGAGCTCTAGGAAGTCCAGACAGCAAAAGTGAACAGAATAACCTAGAAGAATTTCAGAAAGCCATAATGGCATTCCTAAAAGAGAAAACTGATAACATAGGAAAGCCTTTGGATAAAAAGACTGTGCCAAAAGAGGAGCTGTTATTAAATACAGCAGAAGTTGAAAAATTAGGAATCATAAAGACAAAAATGGAGGAATATTTCCAAAAAGTGGCTGAATCTGTGACAAAAATCTTGAGAAAATACAAAGATATAAAAAATGCAGGACAAGTTGGAGAGAAACCTATGAAACAAAAAAAGGAAGTCTCATTTATGCCAGGATTGCATTTTCAGAAGCCGATTAGTGCAAAGTCGGAAATTAGTGCCTTACTTTCACATGAGAGCCTTGACCCACTAACTTACAATTTAATACAAATGATCTTGACTGAAATAGAAAGTGAAAGAGATGTTCCAGTAGCCTCAACAGTAGGGAGAGACCATAAGGAGAAGGAAAAACAAAGACAGGAGGAATATTTGCAAGAGGGTCAACGGAAGAATTTTGGTACAATTTTCAAACACCACTTGCAAGGAGAAAGGAGCTATGAGACAATAAATCAGAATTTGGAGAAGGAAGGGACATGGCTCCCAGTGAAGGAGGGAAAGCAAAGGCAACAGAAGCAGATACAGTGGAAAGAGGAAGAAGAGGTGTGGAAGGAACAGCAAAAACAGAGGATGCAAAAGCAGATTAAGCCAGATGAGAAGCAAAAGCAAGGGGAAGAGGAGAGAGAAGGGCATCAGAAGCCAAAGCAGCAGCACCTGGAAACATGGAAGCAAAAAATAAAAGAGCAAGGGGTGCTCCTGGAGAGGGAGAAAAGACAGCAGATGCTGCAGGTTCAGGAAGTGAGACACCTGGAGCAAGAAAGCAGTTGGGAGAGAGAGGAGGAGAAGCAGAAGCCAAGGAGAAAGGTAGAGGACTATGAAAGGCAGAGTCAGAAAACAGCCAAGGATCAGACAAAGACTTCTGAAGAGCTAGAACAGTTTCTCAGTCAAACTTCAGTGACATTGCCTCCCATGTGGAAGAGCATAACAAAAGATGCATTCCAGTTACAGCAAACAAAAAAGTTCAAAAGGAATCTTAAGAAATTAGAGATTCTTGAGGAAGGACAGCACCCCATACCAATCACTCCTCCCACTTTCACAGAATCTTCCTCACCCAGGGTCTTTTCTATTTCTGGACAGTCTCCCACAAAGTCCATAAATCTTACCCCTCAGCAGGCTCAGGCAATAGAAATTGATCTCACCCCTGAGGAGACCCAGACACTGGGAATCACTCCTACCTCTCATCAGTTTCAGGCGTTGGAGGAAACCCCTACTTCTAAGATGTCTCAGGGTTTGGAAGCAGCCCACATACTTGAGCAGGCACAGGCAGTGAGGACTCTTCTCATTCTAGACCAGATCCTTAAATCGAAGAACCCTTTCAAACTTCAGCAGGAACAGATATTAGAGGCATCTTTCACTCCAGAACAAGCCCAGGTACTGAGGATCCCAATTACCCCTGAGCAGGCCAAGGAAGAGGGGACTACTGTCACACCTGAGCAGGCCCAGGCTCAAGGCATCACCCTCACCCCTCAGCAGGCCCAGGCACTGGGGGTCACTCTCATTCCTGAGCAGGTCCAGGCTCAAGGCACCATCCTCACTCCTCAGCAGGCCCAGGCATTGGGGGTCACACTTACCCCTGAGCAGGCCCAGGCTCAAAGAATCAACCTCACCCCTCAGCAGGCCCAGGCACTGAGGGTCACACTTACCCCTGAGCAGGCCCATGCACTGGGGGTC